ATATTTAAACGCGAGGAAGTGCAGTTTAAATTAATACATGTAGCATTATTACAACTTGTAGAACAGTTCCTATTTGGAACAGACGTCACATTTACGGGGGAAAAGAGGAGGAATTTCCGTGTGTCAAAAGCTTACGTCGCAGAATGTGAAAAATACAAAATTACATATCAATTGTCACGAGCCATATTTTTAAAAAGTTGAGTTTTTTTACAGAAAAAAATGTTACTTTTTCCCATCATAAAGTTTATGTATAATATTTAGGAGATAACAAGTGAAAGACCGATGGCATAATTTCTTAACCGATCCACCGTGCGAGAAGTGGAGATAGTCGCATGTTAAAAAATGTTACTTTGTTTTTATCATAAAATGTCTGTGTTTAGGAGATGCCAAGTGAAAGACCAATGACATAATTTCTTAGCCGAACCACCGTGCGAGATGTGGAGATAATCGCATGTTAAAAAACGCTACTTTGTTTCTATCATAAAATGTCTGTGTTTAGGATGCAAGTGCGGGAACAATGACGTCATTTCTTATAAGCCGATCCACTGTGCGAGAAGTAGAGATAATCGCATGTTGTTTCCGTACCGCGGACGCGCGTCGAGGAAAATTCGCTCTTTCGCGTTGCAAGACGCGGGCTTCCCTTTGACGTATACGTACTCGTCGTAATTTCTGATGTTTCGCGGTTAATCTGGCGCGGCCGGAGTATATACGCGCGGCGAACGCAGAGCTGGGAGATGATATACCGTACGCGTCGGAGATGGCCGTAATAACGCCATAAACGCCGCGAGAGCATCGCGCAACAACTCAATACGTTTCCATCAAGCCTATCCTCCGCACCTCTGTGTCGCTTTCGTACGTGAGGCTATCGTGGCGCGCTGCAAATCAAGGGCTTAGATCTGCTCGAGTCTTCCATCGGTTTTCGCAACCCGATCAGATTGCATCGCCGCACATCCGCACTGCTAACTAATCGAACGATTTGCCGAGGACGAAGTTACGCTCGCCTACCGATAAGTGATGGTTTGCAGCCGCGTCAGTGTGTTAATTGCGTTTAAGGTCTGCGTATGAGCGATTCGGTAGGTAAATCCCCCAGGGTTTGTTAATTGGAGTCAAGCCATGCGTGAGGATTAGCGTTTCACGATTGATACACGAAGGAGATCGATCAAGCGACATGCGCCTAAATTGATCTGTAACCTTGTCATAATTAATTTCGCGTAATTTTATGCATTAGGAACACGCAAAACGAGAATTTCAATTACAAGAGGCCATAAATCTCCCGCGCTGCTCGGTTTCATCGACATCTCTTACGTGGACTATTATTCTGTCGACGTATATTTAACATCCATAGATGCAGGGTTGGGAAAGTTACTTTATAAAAGTATCTAGTTACAGCTACAGTTTCTTCGCTGAAAATGTAACTAGTTACAGTTGCTAATTCTGAAAAGTAACGCGTTACAGTTACTCAAAAAGTAACGAATCGTTGCTTTGCAGTTACTTTCTTGCAGTGAAAATAAAAATATCAAATCTGCATTTAAATTATAAAGTGTCGATAAAGCAACCAATTCAGTAGAAAAAATAGTATCGCCGCTGGCTTTACTCCCGTCGAGAGAAGAGGCGAAACTCGATAGTTTCTTGTAGTTTTTCCTTTTATAATATTGAATAACTTAAGAAATAAAATTTCAGCCAGTTCTAGTCAAATAATATTACCTGTTTGTAATTTATCACTGGCGAAGAAAATATCAATATGAGAAATGCTTTCGTGTCACTTAGGGTGATAATAAATATTGAATTATGTAATAAACTCCAATATTACAAGACAGATACCAAAAAGAGTTGCGGCCATGAACAATAAATTTTTTACATGTACGAAAAACAGAGATTAAACATCGCACGATCAAAAATATATAATAATCTCCTTCAGTATTACCGGATTTTCTACCAAATGTAAAGGAATGTATAAGGAATCATTCATATTTAATTTCTCGTAATCAATCTCATATCAAACGTGTACTTGCGTTTCGCGACATGATTGACCAAATCTCGTGGGATGATTGAGACTTCGTGGCACTTGGTACAACACCTCGGTATTAATCACACGCGACAGGAAAGGAAACACGAAAAATGTACGATTGCACGATGTTACTATTTGTCCTCTGTATTCCTTGTGTAGCAATAATTCCATTTCAAAGAGTCCTCGATCGAATTGTTCGTTCTTTTTTTTACTAATAAGTCCGCGAGACACGAACACTTCTATATTTTTCATAATACTACTTTGCAGAAAATTAATGTTGAATTGTATCAGCTATGAGCTCGTAACATATTGTTAAAACGCCCTCGATCGAATTTATTTCGGTCTTTCTCTTCATTT